ACGCCTGATGAGATGGGCGCAATGAGCGAGGGCGTGCTCCAGCCGTTTGCCAATGTCCACAAATCATTTCCCACCGAGCCGCTAGATCGCAAATCGCATGCCGAAAATTACCGCTCCCGAAATGAAATGCCGCAGTTTTAGTGCGGCGATTTATTATACGATTATGGTCTTTTCACGTCAGTTCCGTGCAAAATACATTAACGCTTGGCGTTAGAGGTGCAACCGGCCCCCCGTTTCCTGGAGGTGCCCGGCATATGAGGGAGCCGGCCGCAGAGGGTGCGGGCGCCAATTGGAGGCTAGATAAGCGCCAGCGGTCGGGTAAGCAAACACAGTCCGCCCGGCCTGGCGAGGACACTGCGCCGGCCGCCGGGCGCCTCCAGTGCGTGAGTGGCACGTCAGACGGCGGCCGCTCATGTTTTTCGTGCGTGCGCGCTCAAGTCGCTGCGATCATCTCCCGGAGATGGGACGCTCCACACGCGAAAGGGCATCCGGTAAGTCACGCCTTTGCTTGCTGGCGTCTCCCCATTGGGTCCAGGCTGTCACGAGCGACCCCACTACCAGCAATCTTAGGCCCGCGGGCGCTCCGTGCCGGCGTACCTACCGCCCCCTCGTATTGTTGTGTTGAACATTTCAGAGTGGTCCACGTTCCACTTGTGTGTCGATTACTGCCGTGGCGATCACGTGGCGATTACTGCTCCTTTGCTTGTCTTACCGCCGACACGTCCCGCGCCGTCACGCCGCAGCTGACATCCCATGCTTATGTCATGAAAGTTTCTCGGACGGCCAGTCCGCCCTGCCCTACTATAACGCCCATCTCACCCGTCGCCGGTGAGATTTCCCGTCGGCTATTAGGCCGTCACGCCGCCGCTAGCATGGCTTCTATCGTCAGTCGCCTGGACTGTGCCGTCTTATACGCTGTCACGCCGCCGCTGACAATCAACTATCTCGCCCGTTGCACGGCCTGTCCCGTCTGTCATACGTGGTCAAGCCGCTGCTGACTACCTCTTCTGTCACACGGACTGTTCGTCTGTCATAACACCGTCACGCCGCCGCCAGACCTCGGTCTTGCCGCCGCCGCCCCTGCCTCGCCCGTCACCCAACATGTCACGCCGCCGCTGACACACCCAACCGTCACGCCCGCTACGTTCGTCGTCACCGCTGTCATGCCGCCGCCGACAGCCCACCGTCACACCTGACGCTTCCGCTGGCTGTCCTGCCGTTTGCCACGACCCGCCCGCCGCCTGGCCGCCCCGCCGGCCGCCGCCCGGCAACCCCTCCCCCCCCCCCCCCGCCGGCCGCTGCCCGGCCGACCGCCGCCGCGGCAACCCCTCCCCCCCCCGCCGGCCGCCGCCCGGCCACCCCGTCGTCTCTCCGAGCCGGACTGTCACCTGCCACCGCCTGAGGCCGCCGGCCGTGCCTTTGTCTCCCGGCGGCACCTCCCTCCCGCCAGCCCCGCCCCGCCGCGCGCACCCCGGCCTGGCCACCCTCCCATCCCGGGCCGCCGCCCGCGGCCCCTAGCCGCCCGTCTGTTTGCTTAGCGCTGCCTTTCCCACCGGTGCCCATTCTATCGCGCTCGCCCTGCTCATATACTCGCGTCCCTCTCTTACACTGACGACAAAACAACTCGCTATAACAACAACACTAACTAGCTATGACCTTTCCGAGATCAGCTGATCTTTCATGTCATACCAAACTGTCATGCCCGCCGCGCTCTTCACCACCGCTATCACCGCCGGCTGTCTCTCCCGTTTGCCATTTTCCACCTAAGCCTGAGGGCTGTTCACGGGCCCTGTGTGCGGTCGGACCGTACACAGCCTCCAAGCTCCGCCCACTGCGTCCCCACGTCAGCCTTCCGTCACCGCACAGCAGCGACCGCTGTGGCCGGTCGGACTGGCCACAGCGGACCGTCCACCATGACGTCATGACGCAGCCATGACGTCAGAGCCGTCTACCCATCCCCCTGGTCACCCTGCCAGTCACTGCGGCGCCTCTCTGGACCAGGACCGGGCTGTCTCCGGCCACCGCCGCGCCAGCCGCACGTTTGTTTGCTGGCGTCCCCCCTTAGCTGGTGCACTTGTCTCGCCGCGCTCACCGCCGCGACCGGCCCCTGGCCACCCTATCAGTATCGGGCCGGTGGCCCCCAGCCGTAAGTCTGTTTGCTTAGCGCCGCCCTCCTCACCAGCACTCGTTGTTTTGCGCTCTTCTGTCGCAGAACGCTGCGTCCATAGTTGTGTGGTGGTTAGCGTGACGGATCCGTTTGTGTGCCGTTAGAACTATCGCCAGGGTGTCCCGGTTCGATCCCAGGTGGCGCCGGACCGTTGCGCTGCGTTAGGCAATGTATCTTCAGCACAGCTGGGGGCTGCGCGCCTGCGCATCGCGCCTTTGTTGCCACCTACGCCGCTACGTCACGAGCCGTCACGCTGCTGCCGGTCATGCCCGTTACACGGTCACCGCGTCTGTCATATGCTGCTGTCAAGCCACCACCACCGGCCGACCTGTCAGGTTCATCGCACGCGCTGCCTATCCGTCACATACCGCTACCACGCCGATGCCGTCACGCCGCTGCCGACAACCTGGCACTGTCACGCCGCTGCGGACAATCATCTATCATCCCCGCCGCACAGGCTGTCCGCCTGTCACGAACCACTGCCACGCCGCCGCTGACACTTCTGTCACGTCTAACGCACTGAGTGTCTGTCCGCCGTATATGTAGGTACTGCTATCACGCTGCTTCCGACCGTTCACGATCATGTCTAGCCCAAGCGCCCGGACCGACACGTCTCCCACATACCGCCGCCATGCTGACACTCCAGTTCTACCCATCCCGGCCGCCGCCCGGACCAACCCGTACGTCTTAACCGCTGCCGCGCCGCCGCGCCGCCAACGGCACCGGGCACACCTACCACGGCAATCGCCAGGCCCACCCCCTCTGTCACATACCGCCATCCCGCCGTTACCACAAGCACTCCTATCATCTACCCAGCCACCCCGGCTGTCATGCCGCCGCCGACAGACCCTTCGTCATGCCAGCGCTCTAGCCGCCCGCCTGTCACACATCAACGTCACTCCGCCGCTGACAGAGCAACGGTCATGTCCGACGCCGACGGCGGCCCGTGTACCACGCCGTCCCCCACCCGCCGCCTAGACCGCCCGCCGACAGCACTCGTTCTGCCGCGCCCGCCGCCGCGGCCGGCCTGATAACCCTCTCGTCTCGGGCCGTTGCTCGTAGGCGCCTGTTTGCTCAGCGCCCTCCCCCCCCCCCCCCCCCCCACCTCAGCGCTCTTGTACCGCGTTCACTCGCCGCGGACAAGCGCAGCCTCGTGTTGTGTTGGTTAGAGTGCGGGAAACCGCCGGTGTGACAATTCGGGCCAAATCGCCCGGTGACCAGCTTGATTCCAGGAATCGGCGGAGTTGTACGCATCGTTGTGAGGTATCCGTCCCTACCAGGAATAATTTTGTCTACCTGAATGTTAGGAGACAATAAAGATAAACAAGACCCCTCCCGACACATGATTTGTGAGACAGTCACAAGCTACCTAAGGTGGCGCATCCTATCCACCATTGCACATCTGTTGCATCTGTATTTCAGTTATATTCTTTTATCATTTACATTAACAGCGCTTCTCGCCGGATCACTTCAAAGACGACGGTTCTCACTTGACTTTGCCCCATAACTGTGCCAAACTGACTAGGCGTCCCTCCCATCTCACGTCAGTCCAACAACTCCACTTACACTGTCGATTGTCGAACACGCCTCAACAATGTCCCACCGCTGCTGTCATGCCTCTCCGGACAACCCGTGCCGTGCCCGACACGGGCGTCTTACCCGTTGCCTATACTACTGTCATGTCCTGCCGACAGCCCTCAGCCCTGAGCCCAGTGCAGCGGTATACGCACGCCGCGGCTAACAGCCGCACCGTAACGTTTCGCAATTACCGTACGACCGTCACGTATGTACTGACACCATGCCCTGCGCTGTCACTGACCGGCTCACCGCACATAGTCCTATAGCGACAGCCGCCATGCCGCCGCTAGAAAACGCACCGCCTCAAGCCGCCTTGCCATCTAACACATCAGTCGTGCCGCCGCTGACCGCACCGCCCCGCCCGTTCGCCATGTCGTTCCCACCGCCGCCTAACCCGCTGTCGGAGGCCGCGCCGTCCCTCGGGCTCGGACTGCCGCCTGCGGCCAGCCACCGCCGACGATCGCCAACCGCGCGCTTGTTTGCTAGGCGCCCACTCTCCTCCCTGCCCGCACTCGTATGGGCGACGCCGTTATCCGCCGGCCTCCCACCCGCTCTTGGCAGCCCTCGCGGCTCAGTGGTTTGCCCGGGCGGCATGTGCGCCGTGTGTCTCTGGGATCCCAGTGACCAGGCTCAGTCCCAGAGAGCTATATGGAAGTTTGTACAGCGATACCGGGCGCGATATCCAGCGCTGCGCCCCTGCTACGCCCCGTTTCCACTCACTTTCTACCCAGCGTGGCCGGTTGGTGACGCATTAAACGTTTGCTAATGCTATCCCGTGACCTCACAGCGGCCGTCACCGAGCTCGTTTATTCCACCCCAAAAGTCCCGGGGTACTTATGATCCCCCCGCGCCCGCATGGCATACCTCATGCCGCCCTTTGCCGGCATCGTGCCCATACATTTGGGCAAATTTTGGCGTCTTTCAGCTAGGGAGAGCTGGAACACACGCAATAGGAGCTGGCGGAGGTCGAGGCCGCACTACGCCAAATCCTCCCGGATACCGAGGTAAGAGACGGGTAGGTCCGGCCCCTCAGTTCAGGCTCATCACACCACGCAGGCACCGGCGACGCCAACGTTAATGGTCTTTTCACGTCAGTTCCGTGCAAAATACATTAACGCTTGGCGTTAGAGGTGCAACCGGCCCCCCGTTTCCTGGAGGTGCCCGGCATATGAGGGAGCCGGCCGCAGAGGGTGCGGGCGCCAATTGGAGGCTAGATAAGCGCCAGCGGTCGGATAAGCAAACACAGTCCGCCCGGCCTGGCGAGGACACTGCGCCGGCCGCCGGGCGCCTCCAGTGCGTGAGTGGCACGTCAGACGGCGGCCGCTCATGTTTTTCGTTTTTTTTTTCTTTCTTAATTTTCCTTTGTCTCCTTCCGTCAACTCCGGCGTCTTTCTGCTAGGGAGAGCTGGAACACACGCAATAGGAGCTGGCGGAGGTCGAGGCCGCACTACGCCAAATCCTCCCGGATACCGAGGTAAGAGACGGGTAGGTCCGGCCCCTCAGTTCAGGCTCATCACACCACGCAGGCACCGGCGACGCCAACGTTAAGGGCATAGCATAAACCAGTTGCTTGCCGGGGGTGAACTTCATTGTAACTTGACCACTCCAATCTATTCAGGATTCTGTTGACGGGGCTGCATGTAAAGCAGCCAGGTATACACGTCTTTCATTTTAACCACTACCTGTCAGGTTTTGAGCAATATGAGCTCCTTTGCACCTTTTCCTTAGCATATTGTGTTATTTCACTATCAATGACAATGGGGTGTTGTCCCATAATTTTGTCCGTATATCTGGTACCACAAACTTATCTGATCAAGAACTACTTTTCATGCATTATTATCTTTATAGTTGTAAATATTATGACGATTTTTAGAACGGATCATTCGCAATTGGCCTGGGTAATATCAGGCGAATATTTTGATATCGATATGTGCATTATAAGGTACTGAGGTATTTTATCCCTCGCATGTGTAGGGGGGGGGGGGGGTCGGATGGACCCCCCCCATGGTTTTTCGCGAATAACTCGCGTAAAAAGCGGCCGATCGCGACAAAATTTTCAGTACCCTCGCATTGATCAATTTTACACCTACCCTGAAAATTTCATGACCCTGACCCAAATGACCTTTGACCTGTGACCTCTTTTCCGAGACCATGTTTGGCCGGAATCGCGATTTCGCGTATGACGGCTCGCACTAGCCGCGTGTTTGCAAGCTTTTCGTGGTTTCAAACGTTCAAACATGTGATTTGATATTACTCCCGTGTTTGTCAAGGTCACCTGAAGGTCAGGTCAGGTCATTGACCTTTGGTGACCTCGGGTGACCTCGGGTCACTTTTTCGAGTTTTACATGTTTCTAGGCTAGTTTTTGGAGCTGAATTCGAATTTAGCAACCATTTGAACATTTACGAAGTAGTTTTGGTGACTTCGTAACATGTTACGAAGCTGTCAGAGGCGGTTGACACGTACTACGAATACCCGTCACGACCCCTACTGGTTGACCTGACCTGACCTGACCCGACCTGGTCTAAATGCTTCAAGACATCATCTGTGATCAAAACTAACACGATATTCGTGATCAGCACCCCGAAAAACCCCTTAGCAGCCACACTTTACGACTTTCTAACAGGTCCCGATTTTCCCGACTTTGGGTCATTGACCTGACCTGGAAGGTCAACCAATCACCTAGGACCTTAAAATTGGGTATCATCGGCTTCCTCTCGTCACGGGCAACACGCTCGTTTTTTCCGCGAAGCTCTAGCTCGATCAGGGGCCAAACGGCAAGGGGGGTCTAACCGACCCCCCCCCCCCCCTACACATTAGAAGCTGGCAAACGCCGCACACATGCGAGGGTTATATTTCCTCTCTTTTTTTTTTCTTTGAGCCGGCTGTTTGTTTCGAATATTGGATGTTTAAATAGAGCTTGAAACGTGGCTCGAACACAATGTTTTATTAGAGACGGTTTCACTTTGCTCTTATCATGCATCAACACACATAACATGTCGCACATTTTCAGTGTACACAGTAAGATCACAAAAAGTACAAATGCGTGATGAGCAGCTCTGATTCAGCCGCGCTAATTGACTACACACTGCCACCGAATTTTGTTACAATGGCTGTTATCAGCGCTTTACACGAGTGAGCTTCTGTTTTCCTCGTACACGACTTTTGTGACCGCTGAGAACCGAGCACCGCCGTGCTGTTCTGAACAGACAGCTTGTCCGGTAGCACTGTCCTCGCTTTGTCGCCGCTTTAGACTGTGTTTTCCAGGTGTTCATGTCGCTGGTTGTAATTGGGACTTAGGAGATTCCAACGGCACGGGTAGACACAGAATCAGCGTAAGACCAGATAATATTAAAAGCTATCGAAAAACTGATGTTTTTTATCATGAAGCTAGCTTTGTGAGCATGTTTTGAAGTAGGTAGGAGTTGTAAAATAGTATGTAAAGCTCAACGACCCCGTGTTTCAGAAAAATGGTTGGCTGCTGTGTTTGACAATTTCAAATGAAATGAAGCACGAAAAGATTACCTTGGTTTTGAAGAGCAAATGAAACAAATGGAACAAAGTTTCTATTCTCTCCACGTGTACTGACAGCCGCAGGAGGACTGGGCCGAGTCATTCACACCTGCGGCCCCATTGAATGTTCAGTTTTAATATCAGGTGCACCTACACCCAGGCACACTTATCGTGCATGAAAAGAAATGGACATCCGGTGCAGTGGTTGTCCCAATTTTTTGGCAGCTGGATCCCTTTCAGCCATGGGCGGGGCTGCCACATGTTGTCTGCATGGTAACTCCCGGTTTGTACGGTGTGCCCTATTGCGCAATCGATCCTGTATCATCGCTCAGCACTTTACTTGGCGCAAAACAACACCTCACAACAATTCTATTCATATGCTACCCGTATATTGAACAGCGGCAGATCAAACAGCCTACAGCTTCGGCAGCCGGCCGAAACGACGGCCTTTGATCGCAATATCCGGCCACTTTGTAATGTTCAATATAGGGGTCTGTACTGAACCAACAGTGCTCCGTCTTTGATATGCTGCACTTCTATTTACCAGCTTATTTAAAGACGGCCCTTTGATAACAAACGTCGATTCCGGCCAACTCCAGGTAGGAGTCATTGAGCTCTGACCGGTCTCAGAATTGATTGAAATAGCTGGGCCTATGCTGGTTGGCAGGAAACGTTCCGTTTTATGGATCATGAGACGACGAGCGATCACCTTTGTTGGTAGTGCGCTGACCGCCATCAACTTGCACACACAAACAGCCACTCAGGAACCAAACACATTTCAAAGCTGACTGAACGTGGCAGAACTGTCCCCTGCGTCGCAGTGGCCAATATTTTGACGGCACTCGCGTCTGCTATAATAACCGCTATACGATTATGATTGAACGCTGTGCTTTGGTGGAGTTCGTTCCCATATGACATGCCGTTGCATGGGCCTGGCAATATTGAGTTGGCCTTTGATTTTGGGTAAATCACCGGACATCAACGGGCATGAGTAGTCTAATTACTGATAAAGTCATGAAACACAAATAGGTTGCAATTTCTAGTAAATCAGAAGGTAAGCAAGGGTTGTCACATTACAGAGTCTCACTGAAGAGCTCCCATCACCCAAACCTGTCGCAGATTTTCAACCAGACAAACAACAATGATGTGTCCGGCTGCAGAGCCGTCTCAAGTACGCATACTTGCCCTGTAGGAAGTGGCACGCCTGCAAAAAGGTAATGCACTAGAAGGCCGATGGCTAGCATGCACAGAGGACCCCCCCCCCCCCCCCCCGCTGCGTGTCTGCGCCGCCTCGGGCCGTTCCTGCCGCATGTGACGCTGATGGAGCGCCCTAGGCGGGTGCCAGGCCGCGTCCAGACGTCGACAGCCAGACAGATGAGAACAACAGATGGCACGGCCAATTAGAGACACAGCTGCCGCACCCCAACTATTCATAGAACATAGCCCCCGCTGATTAGAAGGCCAATCGTGCATGTTGTGGTCAACGATACTTATAGGCGCTATAATAGATAGCGTTTTCTTGTCTTTATAGTTTGTGCCAAATGAGCATGATGCATGCTTCGGTGGTTTTTTTTATGACAAGCCAGAAAGCAAACAACCACTTGATTCTGAAAAGAAGTTTGTAGTTCTGATTACGATGAAAAGAAGCGAAATTGTGAGAGGCATTTGTATGGTGATTTCCAGAAGTTTGTCGTCGTGAACAAGAGAGCCGGTCCCGTAGCTCAGTTGGTAGAGCGTTGGACTCCGCGTGGTGAGGGCACGCGTTCCCGGTTAAAACAGTCCGGGTTCGAAGCGCGACGGGTGCTTGACATTTATGGGCCTCCTGACAGGTATGGTTGCGGTTGGTGGCAGGCCGTAGGCAGGCGAAGTCAGTGAGGGAACCGGCCGTGCGCGGCTATGTGCGCACGTTAAACTTTGAACTTTAAATTCTGCCATAGAACTGGAATTGCGCGATCGGAGGGTAGAGGACAGGGTCACCGCAACAAGCTTAGCTTAGCGGTGGCTATGTCCTTGTGAATCCTTCCTATCAAAAGGTTCGGACTAAATTTATAAAAAAGAGCAAAAGGAATGAAGCTAACATGTGTTCAGTTATAAAGTTAAAACAAGAACTCGGAAGAAAATCTTAGCGTTTCTGTACCTACTAACAGGCAATGTTGTCATTTTAGCTGCATTGTGTACCTAATGTGTATATTTGCGCACATCACGAATGCAGGGAAAATCAACAATACCTAAATGGTGACTTTTTCTGCTTCAAGCCACATGTTCGGGAATCGGGATACAAATATGCAGGTCACACACATTATAGTTGGTGATATGGGAAAATTGGGTAATAGCTAGTGAAGCGTTGTTATACTACATGAAGCCGAACTACTTTTTTACCCACAATGTGTCAAAAAGTCGACCTAGTTTCTTACTCCAGTGTTCATACTTGAATTGGAACTTCGCGTCCTTATCGACACCGTGTTTCACTGGACCAATTCGAATGACCCGTTTCCGAGGCGTGCTACCTTTCATTAAAAATGAGTTACGTCCTCCACACACGGCGCTGGAGGACGGCCATGGCTCGTTAATTACCGACTGCATTATTGAGCGGCCGGTGAATATTTGATTCGGCGGAGACGCCAGCTGCCACGGGTCGCCGGTGCACAGCACGTATTCACCTAGTACGCGGCTCTAGTCCCATATCCGGCGCGGCCAAACCGGGCTCGTACAGAGGGCCAATGCAATCAGTACGGCGCAGGCGGCCGCAATGGGCCCACTTCCTCCGCGTGGGAGGGGGAGGGGAGGGGAGGGGAGGGTCAGCACAGCCCGGCTGTAATCAGGCGCCGAGCACCTCTCACAGGGCAGAACGGCGCCCTATACGGCTCGCAGCGACCGAGCGCAGCCGTAACGCCTATTGACTCAGGCGCGGCGGTCGGCAGGGACAGTGGAGAGGGTCCGCCCGTCCCAGACCGGCGCAGTCT